GGGGGGGGGGGGGGGGGGGGGGGGGGGGGGGGCTGAGGAGGGGAATCCCAGGGATTTGGGGGGGGGGGGGGGGGGGGGGGGGGGGGGGGGGGGATTTCAGGGAATGGGGATTTAAGGGGGGGGGAATTTCAGGGAATGGGGGTCCTCATGAGGGGGATCCCAGATGTTTGGGATCCCATGGAATTGGGATCTACAGCAGGGGAATCCCAGGGGTTTGAGATCCCAGGGATTTGGGATCTATAGCAGGGGAATCCTAGGGAATGGGGATCCGAAGGTTTGGGATCCCAGGGAATGGGGATTTCAGGGAATGGGGATCCCAAGGTTTGGGATCCCGGGGAATGGGTATTTCAGGGAATGGGGATCCCATGGATTTGGGATCCCGGGTCATGCGGGTCCCAGGGAATGGGGATCCCCATGGGAAGGGGGGTTTGCGGGGCTGTGCGGTGACGGGCTCGGTGTCCCCGCGGTGTCCCCGCGGTGTCCCCGCGGGGCGGGCAGGCCTGGCAGCAGCAGCAGCAGCGCAAGCGGCAGCTCCTGGCCGACATGAAGGCGGTGGATGCGGAGAACCAGCGGCTGCGGCAGCGCAACAGCGAGCGCGAGCGGCGCGCCGAGCTGCGGGCCCTGGAGGAGCAGCGCCAGCAGGGGGTCAGGGGGCTGGCAGGGGCTGTCACCTTCCAGAGTTTTGTCACCTCCCCAGGGCTCTGTCACCTTCCCAGGGCTCTGTCCCACCTTGTGACACTGTCCCCTGCCCAGTCCTTGTCCCTGCCCCGTGGCTCTGTCTTCAGCCGATGTCCCTGTCCCCCTGTCCCTCTGTCCCTGTCCCTGTCCCAATGTCCTTGTCCCCAGCCGTGTCCCTGTCCCAGTGTCCCTGTCCCAGCCACGTCCCTGTCCCAGCTCTGTCTGTGTCGCTGTCCCGGTGTCCCTGTCCCAGCCATGTTGCTGTCCCGGTGTCGCTGTCCCGGTGTCCCTGTCTCCCCCTGTGTCCTGGTGTCGCTGTCCCGGTGTCGCTGTCCCCATGTTGCTCTCCCAGTGTCCCTGTCCCCATGACCCTGTCCCGGTGTCGCTATCCCCATGTTGCTGTCCCGGTGTCCCTGTCCCCATGACCCTGTCCCGGTGTCGCTATCCCCATGTTGCTGTCCCGGTGTCCCTGTCCCCATGACCCTGTCCCGGTGCCGCTGTCCCAGCCACGTCCCTGTCCCAGCTCTGTCTGTGTCCCTGTCCCGGTGTCCCTGTCCCAGCCATGTCCCTGTCCTGGTGCCGCTGTCCCCATGTCGCTGTCCCCAGGAGCGGGACGCGGCGCTGGAGACGGAGCGGGCGCGGCTGCGGCGGGAGCGGCAGCGGGAGCTGGACCGGGTCAAGGCCATGCAGGAGCACGAGCGGGACTGGCAGGAGGCGCGGGTGGGTGGCACTGCCACCCTTGTCCCCTCCCTGGGGCTCTGTCCCCTCCCCAGGGTGCTGTCACCACCCAGGGGCTCTGCACTCCGAGCGCAGCCAAGAGGTGGCACAGTGGGACTGGTGGCACCGGGACCTGTCCCTGTCCCCAGAGCTCCCAGTGTCCCCAATATCCCCTGTGTCCCCAATATCCCCAGAACCCCCAGTGTCCCCAATGCCCCCAGTGCTCCCAGAGTCCTCAATGTCCCCAATATCCCCTGTGTCCCCAATGTCCCTGATGTCTCCACTGTCCCCAGTGTCTCCAGTGTCACCTATGTCCCCAAAGCCCACAGAGTCCCCAATGTCCCCAGCACCCCCAATATCCCCGATGTCCCCAATATCCCCAGTGTCCCCAATGTCCATGAAACCCCCCAATGCCCCCAGAGTCCCCAGTGCCCCTGAAACTCCCCAATGCCCCAAATGTCTCCACTGTCCCCAGAGTCCTCAATGTCCCCAATGTCTCCAGTGTCCCCAGTGTCCCCAATGCCCCAGTGTCCCCAGAGTCCCAGTGTCCCCAGAGTCCCCAGTGTCCTCAATGCCCCCAGTGTCCCCAATGCCCCCAGTGTCCCCAGAGTCCCCAATGCCCCCAGTGTCCCCAGTGTCCCCAGAGTCCTCAATGTCCCCAATGTCTCCAGTGTCCCCAATGCCCCAGTGTCCCCAGAGTCCCCAGTGTCCCCAATGCCCTCAGTGTCCCCAGTCCCCAATGCCCCCAGTGTCCCCAATGTCCCCAGTGTCCCCAGAGTCCCCAATGTCCTCAATGTCCCCAAAGCCTCCAGTGTCCCCAGTGTCCCCAATGTCCCCAATGTCCCCAGTGTCCCCAGAGTCCCCAATGCCCCCAGTGTCCCCAGTGCCCCCAATGTCCCCAATGTCCCCAGTATCCCCAATGTCCCCAAAGCCCCCAATGTCCCCAGTGCCCCCAGTGTCCCCAATGTCCCCAGTGTCCCCAATGCCCCCGCTGTCCCCGCAGGAGGCTGTGCGCTGCAGGCGCAGCCAGGAGGCAGCGGAGCGGGCCTGGCGGCAGCGGGAGCTGCAGCGGGAGCGGCGCCGCGCGGAGCAGCTGCAGGAGCTGCAGCGGGGCCGCCGCGAGCAGGTGACACAGCGGCGACAGCAGCTGGCGCTGGCGCTGCAGCAGGAGCGCCGCGACTTCCTCACCCTGCTCAGGTGGGTGGCACCGCGGCTGGCACGGCGACAGCCGGGGCGTTGGGGACACGTCGGTGTCGCCCCACGGGCAGTGCCAGGTGTGGCCGTGTCCCTGTGCCACCCTGCTGGCTCCGGGGACACCAGTGTCACCCAGGTGTGACAAGGTCCCTGTGCCACCCTGCTGGCTCCGGGGACACCAGTGTCACCCAGGTGTGACAAGGTCCCTGTGCCACCCTGCTGGCTCTGGGGACACCAGTATCACCCCAGGCGCTGTGCCAGCCATGCCCAGGGGACAGTGTTGGTGTCCCTGAGCCACCCCAGTTGTCCCCAGGGGATGGTGGCAGCGTCCCCGTGTCACCCCAGGGGTTGTGCCTGTGTCACAGTGCCAGTGCCCCAGTGTCAGAGTGATGTCCCCAGTGCCCAGCAGGAGCAGCTGGCATGGCAGCGGGCACAGTGCCAGTGTCACAGTGCCAGTGTCACAGTGTCACAATGTCCCCAGTGCCCAGCAGGAGCAGCTGGCACGGCAGTGGACACAGTGCCAGTGTCACAGTGTCATAGTGCCAGTGTCACAGTGCCACAGTGCCAATGTCACAGTGTCACAGTGCCAATGTCACAGTGGTGTCCCCGTGTCCCCAGTGCCCAGCAACAGCAGCTGGCACGGCAGCAGGCACAGTGTCCATGTCACAGTGCCAATGTCACAGTGCCAATGTCACAATGTCCCCGTGTCCCCAGTGCCCAGCAGCAGCAGCTGGCACGGCAGCAGGCACAGTGTCCATGTCACAGTGCCAATGTCACAATGTCCCCGTGTCCCCAGTGCCCAGCAGCAGCAGTGGGCACAGTGCCAGTGTCACAGTGTCACAATGTCCCCAGTGCCCAGCAGGAGCAGCTGGCACGGCAGCAGCAGCAGCAGCTGGCACGGCAGCGGGCACAGCGCGCCCACGCCGAGGCGCTGCGGGAGCAGATCCGGGAGTCGCGGCAGCGGCGACAGCGCGACCGAGCCGCGGCCATCGAGGAGGGGCAGCGGGAGCTGGCGCGGGCACGGCAGCGGGCAGAGCGCCTGGCACGCGCGGGGCAGCAGAAACTGCAGCGCCTCAGGTGCGGGCCGGGGGTCACCCGCTGTGCCACCTCTGTGCCAACCCCTGTGTCACCACTGCCACTCCCTGTGTCACCCCCTGTGCCACCTCCTGTACCACCTCCTGTGTCACCTGTACCAGTTCCTGCCACCCCCTGTGCCACCCCCGTGCCACCCCTGCCACCCCTGTGTCACCCCATGTCACCTGTACCACTTCCTGCCACCTCCTGTGCCACCTCTGTGCCACCTGTGCCACCCCCTGTACCACCGCCTGTGCCACCCCCTGTGCCACCACTGCCACCTGTGCCAACCCCTGTGCCACCGCCTGGGTCACCCTTGTGCCACCGCCTGTGCCACCCCGTGTGTCAACCCCTGTGCCACCCCCTGTGCCACCTCTGCCACTTACTGCTGCTTCCTGCAACCTCTTCTGTCACTCCTGGCACCCCTGGCACCTCCTGTCCCCTCCTGTGCCACTTCCTGCCACCTCCTGTGCCACCCCCTGTGTCAACCCCTGTGCCACCTCCTGTGTCACTACTGCCACTTCCTGCCACCTCTTGAGACTTCTTCTGTCCCCTCCTGTTCCCTCCTGGCACCCCTGGCACCGCTGATGTCCCCCCCGTGCCGCTCTGTCCCCGCAGGGACTCCGGGGTGCCCGACAGGTTCTGTGCCCTGGTGGAGAAGAGAGCCTGGGGCACGGCCAGCGCTGCCACCTCCTGATGCCACCCTGGTGCCACCCTGTGACCTCCTGCTGCCACCTTGGTGCCACCTGCTGATGCCACCCTGTCACCTCCTGATGCCACCCTGTCACCTCCTGATGCCACCCTGCCACCTCCTGATGCCACCCTGGTGCCACCCTGTCACCTCCTGATGCCACCCTGTCACCTCCTGATGCCACCCTGGTGCCACCCTGTCACCTCCTGATGCCACCCTGGTGCCACCCTGTCACCTCCTGATGCCACCTCCCGATGCCAGCTGCTGTTCTCCAGGGATCTGGGGGGCATTTCTCCTTTTTGCCCATTTTTAACATTTTTGGACCCATTTTTGATCGATTTTACCCCAATTTTAACCTTTTTGAATCCCTATTTTTAACCATTTTAATCCCGATTTTAACCCAGAAGATCTCAATGTTTACCCCCAGTTTTTAACCCTTAAAACCCCATTTAATATCGGATTTTTTTATGTTTTAATTTTTCCATTTCCAGGGAGAGAGGAAAAAAAATCCCAATTTTCCATTTCCAGGGGGAAAAAAAAAATCCATATTTTCCATTTCCAGGGGAAAAAAAATTCAAAATTTCCATTTCCAGGGAAAGATAAATCCCAATTCTCCATTTTCAGGGAAAAAAAAATTCCAAATTTTCCATTTTCCAGGAAAAATAAACCTCAATTCTCCATTTTCAGGGAAAAAAATATCCTAAATTTTCCATTTCCAGGGGTAAAAAAACCCCAATTTTTCCATTTCCAGGTGTAAAAAACCGGAATTTTCCCATTTCCAGGGGAAATTCCCGGTTTTCTCGGGGGTCAGGAGCTCTTCATCTGCAGGGTCTCGTAGGTCTCCTGGGGGTCGGAGCTGAGACCCTGCGGGGGGGCCGGGGGCGTTTTGGGGTGTCCAGGGGGGCTGTGCCACCCCCACCGATTGTCACCCCCATGTTGTCACCTCCATTGTCACCCCCACCGATTGTCACCCTCACGTTGTCACCCCAACATTGTCACCTCCCCAGTGTCATCCCCACAGTGTCACCCTCACATTGTCACTCCCACGGATTCACCCCAACATTGTCACCTCCATTGTCACCTGAATTGTCACCCCCACGTTGTCACCCCCACGTTGTCACCTCCTCAGTGTCACCCCCATATTGTCACCCCCACAGTGTCACCTCCAGTGCCATCCCCACCGATTGTCACCCCCACATTGTCACCTTCCCAGTGTCACCCCCACATTGTCACCCCCTCAGTCATTCTTTAGTGGAGGGGGAGCACCCCAAATCCCAAACACCCCAAATCCCAAACACCCCAAATCTCACCCCATCAATGAGGGGGACACCCCAAATCTCAGCCCCATTGTTGGGGGGGACACCCCAAATCTGACACCCATAAATGGGGGGGGACACCCCAAATCCCAGCCCCATTAATGGAGGGGGACACCCCAAATCTGACACCCATAAATGGAAGGGGAAACCCCAAATCCCAGCCCCATTAATGGAGGGGGACACCCCAAATCTGACACCCATAAATGGGGGGGACACCCCAAATCCCAGCCCCATTAATGGAGGGGGACACCCCAAATCCCAGCCCATCAATATCCACGGGTCACCCCCAAACCTCAGGGATTTTCCCCCTCCCCAGCACAGCCCCCGCACCCCCCAAAACAATTTGGGGGTGTCCCCAAAATCCTCCCCGCCCCCCCGCGTGACTCACGGCATAAACGGCCTCTTCCTCCTTCTGCCGGGAACAGAAAGTGAAAGTGGATTTTGGGGGGCTGGGGGGGGGCACAGCCGGACACCCCCATCCCCCACACCCCCCCGCACCCCAAAACCCCCCAAAATCCCCCCAAAATCTCTCCCCCCCTTTACCTGCTCAGCCGCTCTCTGCAGCCGCCAAGTCATGAACTGGGGAAGGGGAGAGAAAACCAAAAATGAGGGGAAAAAAGGGGAAAATGGGTAAAAACAAGTGGGGGAGGGGGGAGGGGAGGTTTGGGGACCCCCCCCCCCCAAAAAAAAAGGGGGTTCGGGGGGCTCACCCTGAGGCGGATGTAGAGGCCGGTGAGGATGAGGCTGTAGAGGAAGAGCACCGCGTCCAGCACGTAGCAGATTTCGGGCTCGGCCAGCGCCCCTGCGGGGTTTTGGGGTGATTTTGGGGCATTTTGGGGCGATTTTGGGGGGATTTTGAAAGAGTCTGGAGCGATTTGGGGGGCTTTTGGGGTGATCTTGCAGCGATTTTGGGGGGTTTTGGAGCGATTTGGGGAGATTTTGCGGGGTTTTGGGGGGAATTTTGGGGGGTTTATGGGGAATTATGGGATTATGGAATTTTGGGGACCCCCCGGCTCCGTGTGTCCCCCCGCAGGTGGCACCGATGGCGCCTTGGGTGGCACCAGAGCCCCCCCCGTGCCTGAGGTCTGGGGGGGTTGGGGTCGGTCCTGGAGCCCCCCGGGACCCCCCCCGGGTGCCCCCCCAAACCCAGGAGCACCTCAGGGGTCCCTGGGGCACCCCAAAAGTCAAGGGAGCGGGGAAGGGGATGTGGCGCATCACCAGGACCCCAAATTCCTGCGACCCCAAATCCCCGTGACCCCAATCCCTGTGACCCCAAATCTCTGGGACCCCAAATCCCCAGGACCCCCCATCCCTCCGTGGGTCCCTCTGGATTCCCCTAAATCCTCCCCAAACCCCCTAAATCCCCCCAAAGTCCCCCTGTTCCCCTCGGACACCCCAAA